TATTTTCTTTCCAAGGCTGATTTTTCCATATCTTCCAGCTGAAGAAGTAAATGAAACAATAGATATTAATCTTGTTTGTAAATGAAAAAAGCCAGGCTTAGCGAAATATGATGGAAAGTTTAGAGGTTGAACCATATGAGGAGCTTCCTGACTCAAAGATGAACTATCAGTGCTTGCTGCCGAAGGAAATCGGAACATGCAAAGAAACGTAAGCTGTCAACGTTTTTCAAATCTTGTGCTATTTTTCTCACTTTCAGCTATCCCTTCTACTTCTTCGATAGAGATACAAAAACTTGTCAGCCATTCTCCTATTCTGGTTGTGGTGGCAATGAAAATCGTTTTATGACGTTATCTCAATGCACTAGCCAGTGTGAACCATTTACACATATGACGAGTCAGTCACAAGGTTTTCCACATTGCTTGTCATATGACGATTTTTTTTCTGTAGATGCAGAGATGGACTGTTTTCTGCCACTGGACGAAGGCTTTGGAAACAGCGATAAGAAATGTCTAGAAAACTCTGGTTTTCGATTTTACTACTCTGAAAAAGAAGGTTTAGATAAAAGGTGAACCGCATAATGGTGCTACTAAGCGTACTTCTAGGAAAATGCCAGAAATTCTGGTATCATGGTTGCGGAGGAAATGCCAACGCCTTTTACACTTATGAGGTGTGTCAAAGGGCGTGTCGGTCCCGAAGTTTCAAAATAGAAAGAAGTTCTAGACCTGATAGTCACGGTTAGTACGTTTTATAATACTGAATTTCGAAGAAGTTATCTGAGCAAAGCTATGCGGTATCATCTGTGCAAATAGTTACCACTAGTCCGAGATTTTTTTTAACACCAAAAGTTTTGTGCTCACATGCCAGAGCTCTGGCTTTTAATAACATGGCTAATTTTTAGAGATCCAGAAATTTGTTTCGCAAGGAGTGAAAATCTCACTTTCACAATTTCATAATGTGAGTAAATCTCAAAAATTTCGCAACCCATTTCAAGGTGGAGGGGAAAGACAATTCCGGCGCTATTCCAGTATATCGACTACAAAAATTGAAAGTTTCGGATTTCTCTGAGGGACCCGTCATACTTCGCCCAAAAAAGCGCGTT